GGAAGGAAGGAAGGAAGGAAGGAAGGAAGGAAGGAAGGAAGGAAGGATCAAATGTGGCAATTTTCTGAGCATCTATCTTGCAGAAAGAGAAGACCTGGGTTCAGATTCTGCTTCTAATCCAAATTATGTGAGGAGTGGTGAGTTGCTTAACCTTTCTAAGCCTCTGTTTGCTCATCTACATAATGGGGATAATATTGTCCATGTCTTCTACCTCCCAGTGTGGCATAGTGGATGGAGATCTGGAGTTAGAACCAAGAAGTCTTGGATTCAGTTCTTTCTTCTAACACACCCTGCTAGGTGTCTCTGGGCAAGTCACTTAAACTTCTCGGTGCTCCTAGCTGCTCTCTAAGAGGGATAAGGTGTAGAGAAGGGACCAACCTCAACTGGTAGAACTCATCCAAAGAGTTTTCTTTCCTAATGAAATCACAAATCCAGTCCCTGGCCTTAAGAGTTATTATGATACCCAAATGGAATATGCTAAAAGCGCTTTGCAAACCTTCAAGGGCTCTATAAAGATCAGTCATTTTCTTCAGCTGTCCACATAATAGGGTCACGCTTCATTTTAGCAGAAGTAAACCCCCTGAAGCGTATTCCTTCTCAACTCTCACCTCCAAAGCTCTTCCAAGCACCAAATAAATACCTTATTTTAAAGGCAAACAACATTAGCTGAAGCAAACCAAACGGTGCAATTGCTGCCTCGGGATGGCTGTATCCAGATGATCTGAACCTCAAAACATGTGGCATAAGTTAGCAAACGCCAGCAGCTGTCGGGCCTTATTTGGAACACATTTTCACATGGAAATGGGATGGGGAAAGTTCTCCCCAGCCCAAGTTTACGTTCAGTCCAAATGATCCCGGGGAGCATGCTGCAAAAACAGTGGCAACTTTCTGAGCATCTGTCTTGCATTTGTCTTGCAAGTTAATTAACACATTTTGTCACTCCTACAGCTTTCATGGGAGAAGGGTGACAGACAGTGCCACCCCGGAGCTGGGTCAGGTGACAAAGGATCTCAAACACTGCCCTCTCTGATTGTGTCTGCAGGTGGGGGACACAAGGTGACTTCTCCACGAGCCACGCCCTGCCAGCTGTAAAGGTGAAGCTGTTCACTGAAAGCACAGGTGTCCTGGCCTTGGAGGACAAAGAACTCGGTCGGGTAAGGACACATAGGGGCCTGGAGGAGGGCTGGTCCTTGTGTGCCAAAACAGCAACCTCTTGCCTGAGAATGTATGACTGCTCTCCCTTCGCTCCCCCCAAACAGACATATCATCTAATAAGGCAGAAGAGAATCATGTTCTAATCTTGTCCTATAGAGAATGAGACAGCTTGGGAAAGGGAACAATGGTTACGAATGATGCTTCTAGGATGTTAGCCACATGTGAGGTCTAATTTGCTAAAGGGACAGGCAACGAAACATGGTAGGCTGTACCCCTTCAGACATTACATGAATAGTTTTTTTCACAGATGGGGAGATTGGTGTGATCGTAAGATCATAAATTTTGAGCTAGAAAAAACCTTAGAGGTCATCTAGTCCAACTCTGTCCTTTACAAAGAAGGAAACTGAGGCTCAAAGAGGTTAAAAGGTCTTAGAATCATAGACTTAGTGCTGGAAGGATCTTAAAGGTCACCAAGTCTAAACCCCTAATTTTACAGAGAAGGAAACAGGAGCCTGGTTCACTCAGGGAGTTATTAGCAGAGCTGGAATTCGAGCTTAGTTCCTCTGACTCCAAATCTCAGACTCTTTTTGGATGTAAATTGTCCAAATTCACAGAGCTAAGATGCTACCCCACATCCTCTGAACCCAAATCTAATGCTCTTTTTTAAAAAAATTTTTATTTTGAATTTATGGAATAAAACAAGCATTTTCTTAATATAGTATAATAAAAATGATGATTGCACATGAAACTGTAAATCTACTATGTCCAACTTGCTATTCCTTTTAAATACATAGTAGTTATTGTGTAAATTTCTTTTTTCTCCTTTTTTCTCCCTCCCCCCTGCCCTAGAGATGTCTACCATTAGACTCAAATAGGTGTGTGTGTATATATATATATATATATATAATATATGTATGTATATGTATATGTAAAATCATTCTATATGTACTTCTAATTATCAGTTCTTCATACGTACTTCATAGTTAATTTGGGTATTTATAATAATCAAAATGTCTTATCTGCTCAAAGTATCAAAATATCTTCCCAGAATGCCCCTCAATGCTCTGTCTACTGTCCCTCAGTGTTTCCTGCATGCTGCATTTTTTTTTCATTCTTTTATTGCAGGGAAAGAAGTAGAAAATAAAATTTCTAGCATAATGAATCTACCTGACCCGGGAAGTAATATTTCTCTGGCTTAAGCATACTCAGAACTAATAACATCCCTTAGATCTACACAAATACTCAATTTTTTTATTCATTTGCCCTTTACTCTGGCTTTTTTTATAACTGACAATTCCCTATCATTTTTTATACACTTAACCTAGTTATCCCAATATTTCACCAACTGTTGTATGTGAGTAGCCTTGTCCATAGCTAAAGAATCAATTGTCTACCACCTATCAGAGGTCAGAGACTATATGCCAAAAGAACCTAAAGAGTCCTATTTTCCCTAATTTGATTTTAGTAAGCATTTAGTAAATGCCCACTGTGTGCAATGCACTAAGGTTAGTACTGGGTGAAATGCAAAATTTAGATCCAAGCATTTATTAAGTACATACCATATTCCAGGCACTGTGCTAAGTGTTGGAGATATAAAAAGAAATGTAGAAACAGCCCCTACCTTCAATGAGCCCACATTTTAATGAAGCACGCAATATGTAAATAACTAGATATCTAGAAGTTAAACTCAGAGTAGGAAAAAGAGCTCTGAAAGGGAAAACCATTAGTAGCTGGGAGTCCTGGGAAAGGTCTCCTGCAGAAGGTGGGATTTGAGCTGGGTCTTGAAAGAAGCCAAGAAACTAAAAGGCAGAAATGGGGAAGGGGAGCATTTCAAGTTTGGGGCACAGTTAGGACAAAGGTAGGGCATGGTTCCTGCCCTCAAGAAACTTATAGTCTCTGAGTAGAAATTACCAGTGCTACTGAGGCATGGAAGACTATTTGCTCCTGCACTCAATGGCCCCAAATTTCTGGGGCATCCTAAGTTCTCCTGCTGGTTTTCATAGTCTTCTCCCCTCACTTTTTTCTGTCGCTGGCAAGCTGTTTACTGGCCCTTTCCCTACTGTTCGTATAACTGCTTCTATCAGTATAAGACAAAGTAACTTTTTCTCCACCATATTGTTGTTGTTCAATTGCTTTTCAGTAATGTCTGATTCTTTGTGACCCCATTTGGGCTTTTCTTGGCAAAGGTACTGGAATGGTTTGCCATTTTCTTTTCCAGTTTGTTTTATGGATGAGGAGACAGACAAACAAGGTCAGGTAACTTTCCCAGGCTTACACAGCTAGTAAGTGTCTGAGACCAAATTTGAACTCAGGTCTTCCTGACTCCAAGTCTGGCACTTTATCCACTGTGCAACTTAGCTGCCCCTTCTCCATCACATAGCTACTTCTGGATTACCAACTTTAATCTGCTATAGGCTTGGAAACTAAGCAACTGGGCTTGCTGGAACTTGAAAAATTAGAGTAAGTAGGCTCTGAGTGAAGAAGGGAAGGGATCTACCCTGACAAAAGTCCACGGATTTTGCAACTACTACTGGGGAATGCATTCTCAGGGATCATTTAGATTGAACATAAACTTGAGTTGGAAGAGAACTTTTCCCGTCATTTTCCCTTATTGGGGAAAAATTCCATTTTTGCTGGGCTATATTCAGAATGGTTGGGCTCATGACATCTGGATGTCATCAGGTATGACTTTCCAAAACTGTTTAGCCAGATAACCCTCTACAGTAACTACCCACTTTGGCTAAAATACCCAGATGGCTAACTAGCCCTGCTGCTCTTAAACTTGGGTGATTTCCATGGTCCAAGGGCTATATGCAACACACCCTAGCAAGTAAAATGGAAAACACACTGGATCTGACATCAGGAGATGTGTGTTTGTAACCTTGGTTCTTCTGCTTACTTAGAAAAGTCCCTTAAACTTTTAGAGCGCTGGTTCTCTATTCTATAAAATGAGGAGGTTGGATTGATGACTTCTAAGATGCCTTCCATCTCTAGAGTCACAAGTCTGTACCCCGCAAACATAAAGTCTAAAGAATCAGGACAGAAGGTTCATCAGGAGATAATGTGACTGAGTCAAGAGATCTCAGCTCTTGTCCTGTCCTTTCCATTAACTAGCTATATGATGTTGGGCAAGTCCCTTCACTAACTTTGCCTCCATTTTCTCATCTGGAAGACAAGGGGTTTGGAACAGATGCCCTACAAGGTCCTTTCCTGATTCCAATTTCTATGCTAGGAGAAATCTCATTTTCAAAGGGTTTTGTGCATGTGAGAGTGTGGAAGGGGGTGGGGGGAGGTGAGTGGGGGCATTATACCACAGTAGGGAATGGATGCCCAGAGGACCTGGCCACAGATGTCCTTCCCAAGTGTCCCCCTTAGATCTACTAAAGTGCCGTGTTGCTCTGGAGCTAACTCGGTGGTATCAGGAGCTGTCAACATCAAAGATAAAGCACATGTGTGCCTCAGCTGGGTAGATTAAGTACATGTTTACCAGCCAAGAATGTCCAGATGAAGTGTCTGTTCTAATCCTGGCCTTGGGCACATGGGAGGACCTTCATAACTCAGTGGGGTTGACAAAATGAAAAGGGCTGTGCGAACACGTCAGGACTAGTGGAAAGTTGGATGAAACTAATAGAACATCACCACTAACCTCCCCTTCTGTCTCATTGGCTGGCCGGGACCTCCTCAGATTGAGACCATGTGATAGAAAGACTCTTTGCGAAGAGGCCGGTAATGAGCTGAGCTGGGGCACCCTCGGCTCCTACAAATGGACAGCATATTGTGTGTGGGAAAAGCGTCCAGACTCCATATGGCAGAAGGCAGATTAATGAGCTCGAGAGCGCTGGTCGCCTAGTGCCTCTCACACTTTGCTTTTGCCAGAGAAGCAGGACAGCAGGGAGTCAGGGGGCTTTTCCTACTGCTGTTCCTAACCCTGTGGCTCAGTTCTCTCTTCCTCCTGCTCCTTTACTTCTCTTCTTTCTCCTTCTCTGTTGCTCTACTTCTGCTCTCGCCAGCTCAGCACCTGGTCATGGACATCTCACAGGCTTCTGAGACTGGGGCTTGAGAATTGGGGAGGGTCTTACAGTTCCCCCAGTCCAGGCCTCTCATTTTACCAGCAAAGAAACTAAGGCCCTAAGAGATACACTGTAAGAGATTAATAACAAATATCTATCGAATTGGGCTAAAAATGTCCAAGCTTGCACCAGTGTGAGAGCCAACACTACCTCTACCAAACTCTAGAATGAGCTTTCATCTGAACTCAATTGAATTCAATGCCAAAAAACAACAACAACAACAACATTAAATGCTTACCATGCTGGGCACTATGCGAGGCACCCAGAATAAAAAGACAAAAGCAAAACCAGTATCTGCCCTCAAGGAGCTTACAATCTATTGGGAGAGCTAGGATAGAAAGGACTTCATGGGATAAGATAGATTAGCCTAAGATAGGATAGATGGATGGGGAAAAGAGATAATAACTACACAGATGAGGGAGATGGCTGGTAACTGTGTGGATGGAGAAGAATAGTTACTATATGGATGAGGGAGATGGCTGGTAAGAGAGAAGGAAGGGTCAAGGATGACTGAGGTTATGAATTGAAGTAGCTATTAACTATTGAAAAAGTTCCTGTCCTCAAGGAGTTTGCATTTTGTTGGAGGAGAAAATATTTTCATATGTAAGTATATATAAACAAATACAAAGCAATTTGAGGTAGGAGAGACACAAGCAACTGAGGGGATGAGGAAAGGTCCCATGGCATATAGTGAGGGACTGAGCATTGAATAAGATTTTTATTCTTTTTAATAAATCTATGATTTTAGCAATAGAGGGAGCTCCTGATGAAGAATTTCTTCTGCCAGTGCAGTTCAACAATCCTCTGCAGCTACCGCTCTATTACCCCACATTGTCTTTATTCAATTATTATTGTCATTCATTATTTATTGTAGCCTCATTCTTATACTTACAAAGTAAATAAAAAGTAATTTGTTAATCAATCAGTAA